ATACACAACCATACCCATCAATCATACATCTGCTACATGGTCATTTTGTATTCTTGATTAGTTGGTGGACAGACTGCTAACACCTCACAGACAGATTAGATTAGGACTGTAGTACGCTACCATTTCCAGTTCTCTCTAATGCTGGCTGTAAGTGAACTAATCAGAGTACATCTAGACTATGTAGACAATCTGTGTGACTATTGTAGACATGCCACTTGATCGGTACAGTAGGGGGCCTACCGAACACAACCATATTTAGAAAATTAGGTGCCGGTCAGACACATGCTGTGGTAGGACTTCACTAGGGGGTTCTAGTATAGATAATGTTTGCCTAATTCATGAACAGGTCAGACGTCGATGAGGAGAGAGTTGACGATCGTAGACTAACACGGGCAAGGTCACGTAGGATCCCGCACGTGTTCTAGGCCCTACAACCAGAAGACGAAAGACGGCTTCGTGCCGAACGCAGAGCCCGTGCTCTCGCAGCATCGAGAGAGGCAGCAAACGTTGCAGTTAGGGAACAGGCTGCAGCAGCAGCCAGGGCAGCAGCCATGTCTTCTGCAGCAGCATCCTCCGCTGCAACTTCTGTTGCGTTCTCGTCTGGACCCCAGTTTGGAATGCCAACAGGGTCCGCGGGCACTTCCAGTTCCGTAGGATCACGACAGTCTACAAGTCAAATGGCGGGCTCGCAGTTCAGCCCGTTGACTCCTCGCGAAAGGGAGATTAGAGAGCTCCAACAGGTCGAACGGATCCATGAACAGTTAGAGAGGGATCTGAAGAAAGTTACCGACAGAGAAAGGGAGATTAAAAAACAGAACAGCCAGGCTTGAAACTCTAGAGGCTGACAAAGCTAAGTTGGAGGGCTTAGATGATTCGGGAATGAATGAGCCCATGAAACTGTTGAGGAAGAACATGCTGTCACTGCATGCGCACGTGGACAACAGGTTGGACTTCATGCAGAGCACTTTGGACCAGATCCTGGACGTTTTGACAAGGCCAGGATATAGGCTACCAGCACAATCGCCGTTGCCGTTATCGGCGATGTCAGGCCACTTTCCAGTTCAAGCTGGTACACAGCCAAGTGGTACATCTGCAGCAGCCTCACAGACTGTTGCATCTTCTTCTTCGGGTCCAGCAGTGATAGCTACATCACCGCAACAACCTGTTCAGCAATCTGGACAAACGCAAGGTCAATGGTATCCTAAGACCCCGATGAAACCGCCTCTTGCCTTCTCAGGCGAGAGAAAGGACGAGGAACTCAACACATGGTTGAGAACGGTCCCGGTTTGGGTGAAGGCAAAGAGGACCTTGCCTGAGGACGAAGTGGTAACTGCTGCATCCTACCTTGAGGGTAAGGCAGCCAAGTGGCTAGATGGAGTAGTTGTAAAGGCCGGGTACGGGCGACGCATGGCGGACTGGGCTAAGTCTTTGACGTTAGACCAGTTCATGGAAATGGTAGAAGCTCGATGGCATAATCCACAGGAGGCACAAAAGGCCGCTGATGCCATTAACAAACTAGACCAACGAAAGTTCAGGTCAGTTAGAGAGCTTACGACTACCGTTGAGAGCCTGATCCTCGTCCCAAGCATCAACTACAGTGACCAGTTCCTGTTAACAACGTTTGTTAGATATTTGTCGGAGAACATCAGAAACTTGCTGGCCAGCGAGGCACGCACAGAGTATCATTCGTTTGAGACATTGTCTAGGAAGGCTTTAGATTTGGAGGCCACTCTAGGCAATGCTCAACCCACCTCACAGAATGACTCAAAGAAGAAGAAGAGTCCTCAGGAGTGGAAGAAGAAGGGAGCAAAGTTGATGATGGTTGAGTCTGATGGGACTCAAACTGGGATTGACGAACTCTCTGACCTGATGGACTATTCAGAGTATGACGGCGAGGAGGTAGCTGAGGGTAGCACCCTCACCGCGGTAGTAGAGACTAAGGAAGGTGGCCGAGGGAAGGGCCAACCTAGGGGTCAAGGAAAGGCCGCCTCCAATCAGACCAAACAGGCTGAGTGGGTTAAGGCAGGTCTTGATCAAGACGTGTGGCGTGACCGCCGAACGCGTGGCGCTTGTATCAACTGCGGGGAATACGGACACTCGCAATACAAGTGCCAGAACGCTAAGGTTACGCAAAAGGTTGCTCCAAAGATGGGGGCAACTTATTCCCAGGCCTCTAGCTCGGGAAACTCGTGAGGCCAGTGGAAGTATTAGTTGCTTCTACTCAAGATGAAGTAGGATTGATACCCTCCCTACTTCATGACAAGGCCAAGGCTAATGACCCCTTAGTCACCCCACAGACACAACTAGACCAAACTATGCTCTGTACGTTAGATGTGTCTGAAGCCTTAGAGGACTTGGAGAGTGAGTGGTCAAACAAGGACCCTCGCGAGTCTTGGGTGGCGCTGAGGAAAGGTCCTAGAGGGGAACATTTCGTGGTGGAAGTCGAGGTAGGAGGCCGCAAATGTAGTGCCTTCATAGACATAGGCTCCACACGGAATTACATAAGTCGCGACTGTTTGGAAAGGCTGCACCTACAGGACCGGGTACGACACCTTAGTAGACCAGTAGCATCTACTTTGGCCAACAAGGAGCGATTGATTGTAACAGACTATATCAAGGACGTAGTCTGTACCTTCTCCTATGGAGGAGGCGAGCTTAACCATAAGATCTCGTTCTTGGTTAATGACGACTTGCCATTTGACATGTTATTAGGCATGTACTACCTCAAAGTTGCTAAGCCCCAGTCCAACTGGGATAAGAAGGTGCTCAAGCATAAGTTGCTCGATGGCCGAACTGTCAGATTGACTAAGTTCAAGGCCAGTAGTATTATAGATACATATAGCTGCTTGTGCGCATCAGCGTTCTACAATTACTACAAGCAAAACAAAGAGGAGGGTATGTACCTTTTTTATGTCTCAGAGAAGCGGGAGGCCGTAAAAACACCCCCAAAGATAGAATGCGTCGTTGCTAAGTTCCCTGATCTGTTCAAGGAACCCACAAGAGTTGTTGAAAGGGAAGTCGTCCACGCTATAGAAATCATTCCAGGGAGTAAGACCCCAAAGGCAAGGATCTATAGGATGGCCCCCGCCGAGTTAGATGAACTTCGGCGACAGCTTAAGGAGCTGACAGAGAAGGGTTGGATTCGGCCTAGTACTTCCCCTTATGGATCACCCGTATTATTCGTACCGAAGAAGGGGGGTACTTTGAGGATGTGCATTGACTATGGAGACCTCAATGCCATCACTGTGAAGAACGCAGAGCCTCTACCTCGCATAGACGACCTATTGGATAGGGTGCAGGGATGCAAGTACTATAGCAAGATAGACTTGAGATCCGGCTATCATCAGATCGCTATAAGGCCAGAGGACCAACACAAGACAGCTTTTCAGACTCGTTATGGTCTGTATGAGTTTGTAGTGATGCCTTTTGGTCTTTGTAACGCGTCGGGAACATTCCAGCACGCTATGAATCGGATCTTCCATGACCATTTAGATAAGTTTGTCGTGGTCTACTTAGACGACATTCTGATCTTTAGTAAGTCTGCCGAGGAGCACGCACAACATGTTAAGAAGGTACTCTCACTTCTGCGACAGCACAAGTATAAGGTCAAGTTAGAGAAGTGCGAGTTTGGCCGCATAGATACTATACTTGGGTCATGAAGTATCCGCGGAGGGGATTAGGCCGGAAGATGCGAAGGAGGCTAGTATTCGAGACTGGCCACGACCTCAGACAGTCACTGAGGTCAGATCATTCTTAGGAATGTGTGGCTACTATAGGAACTTCGTTAAGAATTATTCTACAGTCGCCTCTTCTTTGACTGATCTAACTCGACTTGACACACCGTGGGATTGGAGTGATGAGTGCGAGGGTGCTTTCAAGAGATTGAAGCATGCACTCATGAATCATGAGGTTCTCATGGTTCTCGATCCGCAGAAGCCATTCATAGTGACCACTGACGCAAGCCAATACGGCATTGGCGCAGTGCTGGCTCAGCAGGATGGGAAAAAGTTGAGACCGATTGAGTACATGAGCAAGAAGATGCCATCAAAGAAGTTGG